TTTATGTATATACGTTCATTTGTTTAAAAGTTTCACCAAAAACCAAAATCTATTTTTTGGAAAACCGATTTTGCGTGAAAATTCCCGTTTTTCCTTAATTTTTATTTTGTTTTTCCCGGCGCTTGTGAAAACTATAAGGACATTTTTACTTTTGACCTCCCAAAGTACCAACTAGATTCACTTTTATATCAGAAAAGCTACTGTTTAAGAAAATCCAAGCACTTTTACTGTCCTTAAACGTGATGACAGACACAAAAAAAAATAAAAAAACACACATCATTGTAAAATCAATACACTCATCGTTTCACTCAGAATCTAAAACTATCAACACAAATAAAACACAATATTATCGGCTACTAACTGTTCTTAAAAATATATAACTTGGGTACCCGGGTGTAATATTACGTAATATTATAATGACATATATTATTCTAAAACACTTGTAAATGATAATCGTAACATATTTTGTATAATACACAATACATACACTATAAAGTAGTACCTACATAGTCACTAATCACTATTGTGTATTTATAGTAATAAAACTATTTTGTGCACATTCTAGTAAAATGTAAATTATTAAGAATATCAATAAATAATAATACCATATATATATATAAAAATGCACTGCACAGGATCTCAAAAGTTGTTCCGGACGAAATACAGAAAAACAAAATTGCGTTAATAATTGAGAAATTGAGCAAATCTAATAACTCCTAGGAAAAAGAATAAATAGAATTATCATTTATTGGAAAGTATACATTTTTAATGTACAAAAGTATAATCCAAAATGAGAAAGTTCTTTGGAATTTCAAACATTTTCATTAGTTACATAAGTTTAAATTTTAAATTAAAGTCTTAGGTAATTATATATAGTTTAAAGTATTGAAGATTATTTAAATAATCATCTGATATTAACTTGATTAAATGTGTATACATTTAACTTCCCATTGTATACTTCATAATTTTGATTACAATTTGTACTTACTGAGTTGGATGGATGAGCTTCGGATACATCAGCTTTAGACGCACCCTCAGAAGAAATATTTTCTTTGGCAGGTAATTCATCAAGTTGAAGATAATTGGGGAATGGTTTCAACGTATCGCCTTCAGCTTCAATTGATTGTGTTGATAAAATCTAAAAAATTAAATTATTAACTATAAGTAGGTAAAAATTTCCATTAATTTAATACTTAGAACTTAAGTTTTAAAAACCAAACAACACAAACAATTTGAGTATATTATTCTTAACTAATGTAAAATAAAATAATACAAAACATTTTAAGTGAAAAAATACAAAATTAATTGTGAAAAACTAAATAAGGTACATTTTAAATTTATATAAAAACAACTCATTAAATAAAATCTTTAATAGAAAATAGACTACATTTTACCAAGGTCATAATAAAGCAAAAATATTAGCAACGCATACCTATTAAACTTAAAAATATTAAATTAAATTATAGACCAATGTTAGAATGTTAGCTTTTAACTAAATCAATATAAAGATATAAAGTGAACTTTAGTACTATGCAAAATTAACTCTTTTCTGATAACATACCTGAGATAAATCACTATGTAGGTCTAATGTTTGGAAGCTGCAAACATCTTGAAGATCTATAGAACTGCTAGTTGTTGAGCTGCTACTGGATGTTTGGGAATTAATAATCTTAAGAAATACATTTTAAACATTAATCAAATAAACATAATTTGATGCACAAATATTAAATATAAAACTTTAGGTGTCTAAATTAATAAACAAATCTTAAAATTAAATATTAGGTATATGGAAACGGTTGTATCATATTTTAAATAGCACATTAGCAATAAAAGCAATAAAAGCTTATTTTAAAATAGGTGCCCATGTATTTTTAAAAATATGTAGTGGTTGATACTTGATAATATGGTTGAGAAATAGTACAAAGAAATATAGTTATTACTGTATTTGAGTCGTTTGAGGTATTTGTCATTCCTGAAACAATCACTCTCCAATCATCTAAATTTGATACAAAACGAGCTCTATGACCAACGGACGGTATAAGTTCTCTGATCATTTCTTCTTTTAACAAGGGAAGATTTCTTATGTCTATGTCATTTTCTATATACAAAAATTAATTAACATTTTTAAATAAGTAATTATTTTATTTAACAGGGGATCATTTATGTCATCATAAGCCAGCTGTTGCCTGTTTATTAAATTAAATTAAATTAATTAATTTTTGAGTAAATTTGGTTTCTATACATTTCAATCATTACAGCTAGGTATATAATTTAAAATGGTTATTTAAATACAAAATTTAAGAACATATTCAGTTTTTAAAATTATTTAGCCATTTCCAACTATAGTTAACTGTCACAGTTAATACAGTACAGTGTTACACTGACAAACTATAGTGGTAATTTAGGGGGGAGGCCGTAAGGGTAAATGTATTTTACATGGTACTTAAAATCAAATATTTAATAATATGTATTCATATTCATTCACACAACACACACAGCCTTAAATCGGCCTATTTTATGAAGACCATAACCGCCAAAAATGTAATTTTAAAATAAAACATCATTATATAATACTTATTATTCAATTAAAAATAATATGTAATTTCTTTAGTAAATTTAATTTAATATTTTGATTATGTAACTGTTTAATTATAAGACGTATGATATCGGTTATGGAGACTACCTGGTCAAATTTATATCTATTTAAATGGACTACCACTGAACACCCGCCGTTTTTACATTAAACAATGTACCTACCTGTAAATAGGATATGTGACTCGCTTGTACACGAGGTATTTACCGAATCTAGACAAAAATGTGATTCATCAAAATTATGGACAGGGCCCTTCTTGCATTTAGTGATTTATTAATACCTGCCAAAAGCTAAATAACTAATAAGCAGACAGCATTAGCACTTCTTTTAAATTCATTTTAAACCGCCATTACCTTTACCTAAATAATTATAAAATGAAACTTACCTTCAAATATAGCAATGTACTGCTGTAGGTCCCATGCTGTTAAAAAATCTTTTACGTCTTCATCTGCCATTTTAAAAACAAGTACGTACAATGGGTGTAATGTATAAAGTCAGAACGCGAAATGAATACGAGACACGAGTCACGAATTGACATACACCGAATACTGATTCACATTAAAAACTGTACTGGTTACTGGATAAATCCGTAGTTCTAACAAAACATTACTTTTATATCTTGTTATGTTTACAGAACTTCTTGTAATCATCAGTTATCATAATGGTAAAACCAACCAAAATACCAATGACGCGTACTAAATATAGAGTTGTTTTCTCTTAATATTTGTTGCTCTAACTATACGCTTTGTTGTAAACCCATTGTGTACTTTGGTTATAAATAACAATTTCTACTTGATAATTTTTACAGAGTATTCAACTATACCAACAAATATGATTTGTCAGAGACACCAAATATTCTGGTAAAAGCATTTAATTGTAGCATGCACAATCCAAGTTTCATCAATTACAAAACAACTTGTAATCGTAACTAAAGTGCAATTAACAAAATTACATTTGAACGTATCACAGATTACTTAGTTATACCAAGTGTACTGTTCGATCTGTTTAGCAATATTCTAGTTATGCCTACTATGTTTCATTTAACTCAACCCTTTTGTTAATTATTTTTATCATATTTCTTTCAGTGATATAAAACGTGATGACAGACACGAAAAAAAAATTTAAAAAAAAACACACATCATTGTAAAGTCAATACATTCATTGCTTCGCTCAGATTTTAAAATGTAATAAGGTTAAACTTCAAGTTCAAGTTAGAACAGTCTGAACAGGTTTACCATATCTGACTAACCTAAAACTGTTATAGCTTTTATCATATAGGTACCTATTATATATTTTACTAATTTAGCGGTGAACCTAAACAAATTTTGAATTTTTATTAAAATTATGACCTTTTTTCGTTTGAGGGGGGATTTGCATTTCATAATAATCGTGACGACACGATTCGCCTTTATGGATCGTACCTATATACGAAGATGAACCAATGCCGTTTCCGTACATATTAAAACGTGATATTCAAATAATTAGATACAATGACCAGCGCCATGGAAAGTTACGGAATATTTAAATTATGCTGAAATTTATTGATTCTCGGCTAAAACAAATGAGCATTATATGCATATATATACATTGGTACATGTATAAATTAGCCAACGCAATTTTGTTTTTCTGCAGTTCGTCCGGAACAACTTTTGAGATCCTGTGCAGTGCATTTTTTTTTCATCTCCTCGACAACATTATAATTTATAACTATTTGTTGGTTACGTGTTTGATGCAACTGTTTAATATTATAATAGTACCTACACCTTAAATTGTACGATTTAATAATAATTGGTTTTGTAGCGAGCAGCTGTGACTACCTGACCAAATACTTATAAATTACCTGATAATATAATAATTATAATAATATGTACGTTATCATATATTGTACGCAGAGGTGTAGCTAGGGCTTGGCGAGACTGTCCCAGGCCAGGGGCGCAACGAAAAAGTGGCGCGAAATCCAGAATAAAATATATTTATAATATATATTATATATATATATATATATATATATATATATATATATATATATATAAATATATGGTACTAGCTGATCCCGTGTACTTCGTTACCCGTTAAATGTACAAATTGTATATGACTTAAACTTTGTTCAGGTGTATGATATTCTAGATTACTCTGAACTTTCCTGTTGCCCGGAATAAAAATTCTGATTCGCGGTAGTATATTATCAGGTAGGCAATCTACCTGCGGTAGATCGCGGACCCCGTGCTCGTGCTGTTTGTAATAAGTGTATGATTTAACTCTAAAGTATCAAAGTTATACCAAGTTTGTCGTTTTTACTTAATTCCACCTAAATTGGATTAATATAACCAATTAATACAAAATCCTAACCTGACCTAACCGTCTAATATCAGATGAATAAAAAAAACCAAATTTAACCCTTTTTAAATTAGCCCATCTTCTTACGTAACGTCCAGGTTTTACATATCATATTGTTGTAATCGATAATATAACATTCATCCGATGGATTACGTCCAAATATTAGTGATGTAGCAAATGCAATTGCAAAAACTCCACATGAATACCCATCTGGCTGTTTTATAACAGACTTAAACACAACATTGGATTTTGAAGGATATAAAATATCCAAAATCTCAAATAAATTATCATTAAGCGTATGGTATGGCCTATCGTACACTTCTGGGCACTTAGTTTCATTACGATAATACACACATAGCCAATGCCCAATAACATAATTTCCAATAGAACCATCATATAAAATTTGAAAATCATCCACGTTCTCAACGGCCGAATACATAAGTGGTGTTTGATAAAATAATACGTTTTGTGGAATAAAATATGATGTTTGTAATTTTACGATGACTAAAAATGCATTAATAACTTCGTCGTTTAAATAAGAATTATGTATTGCTAAGGCAGTACAGTGGTTTTTACTCATAATGTAAATGACAATTATTGTAGTTAAATAATTTTGTAAATGACAATGATGTATTATTATTATATTACTACAATTATGTCGTAACCATAGATACATAAATACATGGACGACTGCTATTGTTATTATTATTATTATACATTATTACAAATTACACGTAAAAAATTATTTTTGCCAATTTCAACCCTTTAAAATCAAAATTTTGAAAATCGGGCGATGTGGTAACACTCACGGAGGTATTTGGAACAACTTTGTTAAAAAAAAATTGGAAAAAAGTTAAATAGCGTCGTCACAAAATTGGTACATAAAAAAGGCCTGTTCTTTTATATATATATAAGGATTATTATTTATTGATATTCTTAATAATTTACATTTTACTAGAATGTGCACAAAATAGTTTTTTACTATAAATACACAATAGTGATTAGTGACTATGTAGGTACTACTTTATTGTGTATGTATTGTGTATTATACAAATGTTACGATTATCATTTACAAGTGTTTTAGAATAATATATGTCATTATAATATTACGTAATATTAAACCCGGGTACCCAAGTTATATTTTAAGAACAGTTAGTAGCCGATAATATTGTGTTTTATTTGTGTTGATAGTTTTAGATTTTGAGTGAAACGATGAGTGTATTGATTTTACAATGATGTGTGTTTTTTTATTTTTTTTTTGTGTCTGTCATCACGTTTAAGGACAGTAAAAGTGCTTGGATTTTCTTAAACAGTAGCTTTTCTGATAGGAAAGTGAATCTAGTTGGTACTTTGGGGGGTCAAAAGTAAAAATTTCCTAGTAGTTTTCACAAGCGCCGGGAAAAACAACATAAAAATTAAGGAAAAACGGGAAATTTCACTCAAAATCGGTTTTCCAAAATATCGATTTTGGTTTTTGGTGAAACATTAAAACAAATGAACGTATATACATAACATTTTTACTGGTTGTTTATATTTGCATTTTCTATACACGATAACATTTTAAAAATATTTTGAATTATTTTGAACAGTTTAGGGACATTTTCATTTTCCATTTGTTTTTAGTATTTTTTCTAAAAATATCAATACAATTTTATTTGTTATTTGCGAAAGCTTGAAAATTTAATAGAAGGATCCTAGTATATTGTTTCAAAGGCAAATGAAAAATATTAAAAATCCTTAGTCACAATTTTTTTTATAAGCATTTAAAGTTCAAAAATTGACAAAATTTGGAAAAATCACGAAAATTAGCAAACTATTTCGAGTTAAGAATTCGTAAAAATTTTCATTTTTAAATCTAAGATTTGAAAATGTAATACAATATTCCCTATAAGTTTATCTACCTTTATCAAAACAAAATGTCTATAAGAAAGTCAAATTAAATTTTTATGAGCGTTTGAAATTTAAATTTTTACAACATTGGATATTCACTCGATTTCTCATGTAGCGATTTCCTAATTTTGTTGTAATTCAAAAACGAATAACTGTAGATACATGAATATTCCACTGAATGTTCATATTAGCATTTTCTGTATACTGTACAATTTTGAAAATATTTTGACGTTTTTTGAGCTGTTTAAGGACATTTTCAGTTTTAAATTTTTTTAGTTTTTTTTTCTATATATACCAATAAAGTTTTATCTGTTGTTCCAAAAGGTGTAAAAATTTAATACAAGGCTCCTGATATATTGTTAAAATAGCAATTGAAAAATTTTAAAAATACATAGGCACAATTTTTTTTTTATAAGCATTTAAAGATCAAATTTTAACAATATTTATCAAAATCTCGTAAATTATCAATCATTGTAATTAATAAATTATAAAATGTTCAGTTTTCATAGCTAAGGATTGCAAATTTAAAACAAAGGTTCTCATAAATAGTTCATACTGTAACCAAAAAATCTAAAAAATGTATGAACACGGTCATTTTTTACAGACATTTTAAATTCAAATTTGGACGAAATTACATATTAAAAAACCTAGAATAACTATTTTAGTTATTTTGTTGTGATTGTATAATATAAATCGTGGGTTCTTGAAACTTCTAATTTATACTACTATATATCTATGATAGTATCAGGGTTTGTTGTTGGTGTATAACGCGTTATAAGTACCTAATGGATATTGTGATATGATTAATTTGGAATTCATTATAGGTCTTTTTTTTTTAATACTATGGTTTTGTATATAATATATCTTATACCTAGAAGGACATACCGTCTCCGCTCAGAATCGTTTTTCTTATACGATGATATAATATCATTGAATTCAAATGTAATACCATCCATTATACAGTGACCTACTTGTAACCTACTGTACAACAGAGCGACACCCACTTGCCCACCTTTTTTATACTGTTGATTATACCACCATCTCAGCACGCAAGTCGATTGTCAACATAGTAGCTTAGAAAATCGATTATTGTTATTAAATATTAGCTGCATGTTAAAGTTAAAATTAGAATTCTAAATTTATTATATTTTAAAGACTACCGTAGTCCCGTCAATCATCAAATTTATAGGTAGGTAGGTAATATTATAATATTTCAATATCTAGTCATTTTATATAAGTCATTGAAAAGAAGAACTTCTACAACAGTTCTACGGTGAGTTCCTAATTATTATTAATTATAATTATACAAAATAATTATTTATAAGAATGTAAATACTAAAAAGGTGGGTAAGTGGATGTCGCTCTGCTGTACAGTAGGTTACAAGTGGGTCACTGTATAATGGATGGTATTAAATTTGAATTCAATGATAAAATATCATTGTATAAGAAAAACGATTCTGAGCGAAGAAGGTATGTCAGTCTAGGTTTAAGATATATTATATACATATCTATGGTATTAAAAAAAAAATTTACCTATAATAAATTCCAAATTAATCATATCACAATATCCACTAGGTACTTATAACACGTTATACATCGATAACAAACCCTGATACTATCATTGATATATAATATAGTGTACTTTAGAAGTTTCAAGTACCCACGAATAGTATTATAGTATAACTCACAACAAAATAACTAAAATAGGTATGCTAGGTTTTTTAATATGTAATTTCGTCCCAAATTTGAACTTAAAATGTCTGTAAAAAATAACTGTGCTCATATATTTTTTAGATTTTTTGGCTACAGTATGAACTATTTATGAGAATCTTTTTTTTAAATTTTCAATCCTTAACTATAAAAACTGAACATTTTAGAATTTATTAATTACGATGGTTAATAATTTTCGAGATTTTGAAAAATTCTGTCAAAATTCGATGTTTAAATGCTTATAAAAAAAAATTGTGCCCATGTATTTTTAATATTTTTCAACTGATATTGTAACACTATATCAGGAGCCTTGTATTAAATTTTTACACTTTTTGGCCCAACAGATAAAACTTTATTGATATTTATAGAAAAAAAAAACTAAAAAAATTGAAACTGAAAATGTTCATTAACAGCTCAAAAAGAGTCAAAATATTTTCAAAATTGTACGGTGTATAGGAAATGCTAATCTGAACATTCAGTGAAATTTTCATGTATCTATAGTTATTCGTTTTTGAATAACAACAAAATAAGAAAATCGCTACATGACAAATCGAGTGAATATCCAATGTTGTAAAAATTTGAATTTCAAACGCTCATAAAAATTTAATTTGACTTTCTTATAGAATTTTTTTTTTTGATAAATGTAGGAAATCTTATAAGGAATCTTGTATTACATTTTCATATCTTAGATTTAAAAAGAAAAATTTTTATGAATTTCTAACTCGAAATAATTTGCAAATTTTCGTGATTTTTCCATATTTTGTCATTTTTTGAACTTTAAATGCTTAAAAAAAAAACTGTGACTAACGATTTTTAATATTTTTCATCTGTCTTTGAAACAATATAGTAGGAGCCTTGTATTAAATTTTCAAGTATTTTTACTCAACAAATAAATTTTTATTGATATTCATAAAAAAAAAAACTAATAAAATTGGAAACTGAAAATGTCCCTAAACAGTTCAAAATAAATCAAAATATTTTGAAAATGTTATCGTGTATAGAAAATGCAAATATAAACAACCACTGAAAATTTCATGTATCTACGGTTATTTGTATTAAAGTTACACCAAAAACCAAAATCGATTTTTTGGAAAACCGATTTTGCGTAAAAATTCCCGTTTTTCCTTAATTTTTATGTTGTTTTTCCCGCCGCTCTTGAAAACTACTGGGAAATTTAAATTTTGACCTCCCCAATGCACCAACGATATTCACTTTCCAATCGAACAAGATACTGAAGTCGAAAATCGAAGCATTATTTCGACTACTTATCGTGTACACAGACACAAAAAAAATAAAAAAAAAAACACACATCATTGTAAAATCAATACATTCATCGTTTCACTCAGAATCTAAAATCTAGTATAAAATAAGTCACTATTAATATTCGTTGGTTTTTATCGATTAAATTTGAATTTAAATAATGTATAAACATTAAGATAGTTTGTTCAACGTTTGCCTATTAAAATAAAAATACAATTATTCAATTACCCACATAGCATTTTGGTGATGATTATATTTACAAAATATTTTTTAATCGTCTTGACAAAAATATTTCTTGGTAAATATTTTAAAAATATAATTATAATATATATCGTATAATATGTTAAGTCAATTATTTCTTAAATATTTTAAAAACTTCTTCTTTGAAATATTTTATGATTATCATACAGTATATAACTATAAAATAACATTTTTATATTATTGAAAAATATTTCCTATCAGTTAATTTTAAAATATTTTAAAAATAACTGAGAGTTATGATAATAAAAAATGATTAGGGAAATATTTCAATAAGAATAATGGGCCCCACCGAGCAGTGGTGTATTTATGGTTTCTTATATGCGTACCTTTATTATTTTCTAATTATTGTAACCCTTCTCGGTTCCTCGGTTCTTATTTATTTTGTCATGCGCGTTCTCTCGCCAGACAGAGTATAGTTCGTATTATAGCAATATTATTATATTGTGTATTTGTGTTGAA